TCTATTTGCAAACCTCTTACCCATTCCCTATACAAGGCTCTGTCCAGATCCCCTTCCCTCTGTTTTTCTCAAGCATGATGGGCAAGGATTCCTTTATTGAAGCCTGGGGTCAGCCTCCCTCCACAGGAAAACAGTGTTTGGCTGATGGCTGGTGGATTCCGCCCTTCTCTACAGGGGCAGGGTGGGCCTGCAGAGAGATGGAAAGGGTGTACCAGGCAAGGTGAGAAGCCAGCAAAGGGAAAAACCAGGAGGGGCCAGCAGCTTCTGGTGTTTGGTGTTTACTTGTCTTGCTAACAGCAGGAAGCCGGCCCTACTGAAATTCTTAATACCATTCACATGCTAGTTCAGTGAGAGCTACATAAAGCCTCAGACAAAAGATTGGGCCTCTTTCCAGTCTTAATTCAGGGTGAATTCCAGGGTGATTTCAGGTAATTCACACAGTCTCCTCAGCTCTACTTTCTCTCTTTGTTATGTGTAACCAGACTGCCATGAGAAAATGATCAAGATGGAAGGTGCCCCAAGAAGGCATCTGAGTTAGCCTCCCTGCACATACAAGACACAACTATTTTACATTTGTGAATCTGCTTTCTTTAAATTGGAATTGATCAGTACTTGCTCTTGGTGATTAAAATGTTTTATTATTATTTTTTAGATGTCTGCAAGGATAATACTATAGAAACACATATTTGATTTCTTCCCTTCAATACTCTGTTTAAACCTGTATAGAACATCACTCACAGTTAAATTAAATATGATGTAAAGATGATCACTGTATTATTATTAATGATTATTTTTTATTTAATTAATTTATTTTTGTTACAGATGTTCCTCATTTTTTCCCCATTGACACCCTCCCGTTCCTGCCCCCTACCCCCACAGCATTGTTGCCTATGTCCATTGGTTATGCTTATATGCATAAGTTCTTTGGTTTATTCCCCCCACTCTGCCCCTCCTCTGAGGTTTCAGTCTGAACCCTACTTCTATGTCTCTGGGTCTATTATGTTCATCACCTTATTTTGTTCCACAAATAATTGAGACCATGTGATATTTGTCTTTCTCTCCTTGGCTTGTTTCACTTAGCATAATACTCTCCAGGTCCCTCCATGTCATCTCAAAGGATAAGAGATCTTTCTTACAGCTGCATAGTATAACACTGCATTTTTATCCACTCAACTATTGATGGATACTTGGGCTATTTTAGATCTTAACAATTGTAAATAGTGCTGCTATGAACATAGAGGTGCATGTATTCTTTCTAATTGATATTTCAGGCTTCTTAGGATATATTCCCAGAAGTGGGATCACTGGGTCAAATGAAAGTTCAATTTTTAACTTTTTGAGGAAACATTATATTGTTTTCCATAGTGTCTGCACCAGTCTGCATTTCTACCAGCAGTATACTAGGGTCCCCTTTTCTCCACACCCTCACCAGCACTTGTTTGATGATTTGTTGATGGCGGCCTTTCTGGCAGGTGTGAGGTGATACCTCATTGTTGTTTTAATTTGTATCTCTCTGCTGATTAGTGATGTTGAGCATTTCTTTATATGTCTCTAGGCCATTTGTATGTCCTTTTGGGAGAGGTGCCCATTTTTAAATTTGGTTCTTTGTCTTCCTTTTGTTGAGTGGTATGAGAACTCTATATGTTTTGGAAATTAACCCCATATCTGATGTATCGTTGGCAATTATGGTCTTCCATATAGTGGGTTTTCTTTCCATTTTGATGGTTGTTTCTTTTGCTGTGCAGAAGCTTTTTAGTTTGATGTTGTCCCATGTATTAATTTTTTCCTTTTTTTTCTCTTGCATTAGGCATTGTATTAGTGAAAATTTTGTTGCGTGTGATGTCTGAAATTTTGTTGCCTACGTTTTCTTCTAGGATTTTTATGGATTCATGAGTCACATTTAAGTCTTTTATCCATTTTGAGTTTACTTTTGTGTATGGTGCAAGTTTGTGGTCTAGTTTCATTTTTTTGCACGTAGCTGTCCAGTTTTCCCAGCACCATTTATTAAAGAGGCTGTCTTTACTCCACTGTATGCTCTTATTACAAAAGAATATTATTAATTATTACTCTCTTGAGCAACTATCCAAGGTTGGTAAACTATAATCATGAAAGTCATGTTTTTATTTTTTTATGAAATTCTTTCATACCCTCATTTGCATTCTTTCTTTTCTACTTGGTCAGGTCTGAGAACAGAATAAATTAAAGACTAGAACTTTTATAATATATAGATTAAAAGGGATCCACAAAAAGCTAACATCCCAACATTAATCGATAAGTAGATCATGTATGTGATAAGTGTTTCTACAGCATTACACAGAATGTTTTCTTGTATAACAGCCTAAAGCAGAGATTTTCAGGAATTTTGAAAATATGCAATGCCTGACTATTTAGTCAGGAGCATTGACCTCTTTTCCCTTAGATTGTAAAATAAAAAAAAAGACAACAGCCAACAGAACAATACCTATCCAGTGTGAATGAATCAAAATTATACCTTTTTTTTTTTGTATGATTTGCACAATAATTTTTTTGGTGTGCCACAGAATTTTAGTAATTAGTTTATATGTGCCATGAGATTTAAAAAAAATAGAAAATTGCTGGCCTGAAGATAGTTGCCTGATGTTCAATGTAAATCAAAATGCAAATAAATCTCCCACTTCCTTTTAGCTGTGAACAGTTTAAAGTGAGACAATCACAAAAGATAGAATTAGAAAAATCAGTGAGTCACACTCCACATATTTTTTTCAGGTTCTTTATATTGACTTCTATCTAAGCTCATTAAATTGACACTGGATCTTGTTTTCAAAATCAGCCATAGCACATCCCACTGCCGTTATTCCCTCAAAGGAATGAGAAAGTTCTGTCACTGTCGATTTGGGTCACGAGTACATTGCTTCCCTGTGTAACTTCTCTTTGGAAAGTTTGAAGTAATCAAGATAACCAGTCTCCCCTCTCAGAGAGACAGTCAGGTCAGCAGAAAATATTTCTCCTGGCAACTCTTCCTTTCCTCTGGTGTTTCCTTTCCCAGTCCTGTGGGTGTGGTTAAAAAGTAAACTCCAAACAAAAACAAGGTTTTACCTTTTCTTCTGCCTATGAACCTTCCCCTAGTAAAGCGGGAAAGAAGTGGCACTAGAATCCAGATTGCAAAAAATATTTTCCTGCAGCCACACTAAGTAACAGGGATCTGAGCTGTTCTTCTGTATTACGGCGTTTAGAAGAAAGAATGATACTCACCCCTCCACTCCCCGTGAAAGGATCTTCACTGCTTTCATTGATTATAAAAGTAATACATGCTAAGTGTAATGAATTAAATAATACACGTAGAGTAGAATGTGAAGGTTCCCCACAGTTGCTGCTGTCAGTCAAGGGGTGTGTGTGAGAGTGTGTGTGTGTGTGTGTGAGAGAGAGTGTGTGTGTAGTCAACATAAATGGAATGGGACTTGGCCTAATATTCTACAACCTGCTTTTTTTCACTGCATGTTTTGTAGGCTCTTTGCTATGTCAGGGTCTGCAGATCCACCTGCAGCCCTCTTTTTTAATGACTATTGTGTGAATGAAACAGGGTTGATTTATTCCGTCATTTCTCGTTTTCGGATGTTCTAAACCTGAGTTGTTCAGTATGCTAGCCACCAGCCCCGTGTGGCCATTTAATTTAATTAGAATTAAATAACGTTTAAAAATCAGTTCCTTGGTCACTCTAGTCACATTTCAAGTGCTCAGTAGCTATATGTGACTAGTGCAGGCGTAGAACTTGACCACCATTGCCTAGTTATATGGGTCAGTGCTGTTCTGAACTACTGGTTTTCAGACTGATTTTGAGCATGTGTTTTCATTCCTTTATTTATCATTCTTCATTCATTCAACAAATAATTATTGAGTGCTACTATGTTCCAGACACTGTGCTAGGTACTTGGATATCTCATTCATAAAACAAAAACGCCTGTCTTCATAAAGCTTACATTCTATCAGCAAAAGGTTTTGAGTACTCACTCCCAATAAATGTGTATGAATTTTTAACTTGCCATGTATTCTATTATGCTGTTACATTATAAAACATGTTAAATTAGGAATGAAAAAGAATAAGATAAAAATGTACATAATTTCCTAAGAAGAAGTCTTCCTGTATCCCACCCTGGAGCCCACCATTCTGCACCATGCTCTTGTAGTAGACGTCATCTGTAAAGGTGCTTCCAGTGCTGAAATGGAAATGTTAGCACTTTAAGTAGGTAGTTCATCTATTTCCATATATCCCTTCTAAATCTATTTATTTCATAAAAGGACCTGTTTTTTTTTACACTGTCTGAATTTGGTTTTTCCTTACATGTTCATTTAACAAGCATTTATTAAGTTCATACTATGTATATGCCAGGAAATTGAAAATGTCGGGGTTTCTGCCTTTAAATGAGACAGGCCAGCAAATCAGTTATTCTAAGACATGGTCTTATTAGAAATGCAGCAGAAGGGCAAATTCAGAGAGAGATTGTTGGGCAGAAGGGAAGATAGTTCTCATGAGTGTGACCTCCTCTTTGCTTAGTTATTGTGCTCTGGGGACTTAATGGAATCACAGATTTCTCCAACAGGTACTATTTTTCTCAATGCTATTTTCTTTTTGGAGGGAAGTAAAATTCTAAACCACTGATTTAACAATATTAAATAGACCATTGTCTATTGTCATGTTAAGTATCTCTTTATGTTAAATGTTCACCTTTCTAATGAGACAGATTTTAGGATTGGAAGGGCTCTAGATAGGATAGAAGGTAAGCACTAATATTGTTTGAGAGGAGAAAGCAAAATCACCCCTGGAGTTTGTGTTTATTCATACTTTTGTTTAACAAATGTTTTAAAAATACCTGCTATGTGGAAAAAACACTTATTTCTAAAATTAATTTCTCACATGGGCTTTGAATTAGGGAATTCTGAAGCATATAATGAGTGGATAATAATATTGAGAGAAATTTAGAAATGAAAGAATTAATCATGTTGTTTTCTTCCCTCTCTTTTAGGGCAAGTTAAAGTGTTCAGAGCTCTTTATACGTTTGAACCCCGAACTGTAAGTATTCAGTTTTTAACTTTAAAATTGGCATAAAAACCTAAGGTGGTTTCATTTAGATACTTTTTCTGGCCTAAGTGGCCTGCCGGTTCCATAAATAATTCACAGGAATGGATGTTCGCTCACTTCCTCCTGCCGTCCAAAAGCCTGAAAGCTAAGCCCTTCCACTGGTCTGCATGTCCTTCCTTCTCAAGGTCATGTAGTGCATCCTGAGCTGCTTGTCCCCATGTGGTGAAACCCCTCGCTTAAAATCACCAAGTGACCTGCATTGCAAGCATGTGATCCTGTCTTAGTCATTCCGCTGACTCTCTTGCTAACTGATTTTCCACTTGACCTGCTATCTCAAACTACATTATAATGGCATCATCTGCCAGTTGCCCGGAAAAATTTTTTTATGTCTCTGCTGTATGCATTTTTAATTGTTATAGTTTCTGGTGTGCATCCATAAATTCATCTATTCACCCGTGGTTTAGTGAGCACCTATTATGTACCAGGCACTGGTGCAGGCTTTGTGGATAGTGTAGTGACAACAGAAAGGACTGTCACATGGCACTCACATCCCAGTGGGGAGAGATAGTAAGTAGATAAATGAGTGTAAATGTCAGGGCCTGGTAAGTGCTATGAAGGAAAATAAGGAGGGTAAGGGGCATCATGGTCAAGGGAGGAGGAGTGTTATTTTCAGTAGGGTGGTTAGGGATGGCCTTTCTGTAGAGGTGACGTTTGAGTAGAGATCTGAAGGAAGTGAGGGAGCAGAAGGAGCAGGAAGGATGCTTGGTGGGTTCTAGAAATAGCTGGGAGGACAACAGGGCTAGGAGATTTGTGAACAAGGGGGAGGGAGGTAAGAGATGAGTTCAGATGTGCTGGGTCCTGTAGGGCCTCGTGGGTTACATGTAGATTTTGCCCTGAGTAGGATGGGAAGCAAATGGAAGGGTTTGAGTACAAGAGTAAGTAGATAGCTAAGTTTGAGAAGACTCACTCTAAGATGTGGACAACCATCTAGGGGAATATGAGTGGAAGCAGGGAGTCCAGGCAGTTAGGATGCAGAGAGAGAAACCGAGGAGGAAACCTGTTCGCATCTGACTTCTCTCTCTCCTTGTGATGCGGGCCTTCCTGCTGTGCATGGCCAGCCTGCTGCTGGCTTCGTCTGGGTTTGCCTTGGGCTCAGCAGTCCCTGGGACAAATGGCACTGAGCACTGATTCACTGCTGTCAGGCCAGGGCCTGCCTTCAGACCCCAGAACTGTCATTAACTCACTGGGTGAATGATTCTTGTGGCCATTGTTTCCCTATCTTGAAGATGGGAATGATACTAACCTTCTCACAGTAGAACCTTGATGAGATGGTGAGTGCCAAGTCATAGCATGAGTGTGTGTGTATTCAGATGAGTTCTCCCAAGACTTTGTAAACAGAATGTTTCTGGGATTTGGTGAGTAGAGGTAAGTCTTAGTTTTTTATTCTCACCGAGAGGTTGCAGTGACACCTCCCTGTGTTGGTTGAGGTGGGGAATGGGCGGTTTGTTAGTCTGCTAGGGCTGCTGTAGCAAAGGACCACAGACTCTGCAGCTTGACCAACAAATTTATTTTCTCAGAGGTCTGTAGGCTAGAAGTGTGAGATCAAGGTGCCAGGAGGGTTGGTTTCTTCTGAGGCTCTCTTCTTGGCTTGTAGATGACTGTCTTTCTCCCTGTGTCCTCAACATGGTCTTTCCTCTGTACTTGTCTGAAGTACATTGGTCAGATTGGATTAGGGCCTGCTCTTATGACCTCATTTTAACTTAATTACCTCTTTAAAGATCCTGTCTCCAAATACTGTCACATTTCGAGGTACTGAGGATTAGGACTTCAACATTTGAATTTTGGGGGGACATAGAAGATATGGAAGTTTGAGGCCGAGACATTGTTGTCTTTGTCCCCTGATCACAGAGAGGACTATCATTTCATGCCTCCATTTGGGACCATATTCCTGGTCCCAAGGTTGCATGACCCCTGAGGTGGCTAGGGGTGGGAGGAGGGGAGAGGTCATCATCTGCCCTCCTGGGCCAGTCAATGAATAGACCATTCTGCCACCTCCCAAACTCTAGAAAGCAACCTGCATTTACTGAATTGAGACCTGACGTGACGTCTGACTGTCCTCTCTCCCTCTAGTATCCTGTTCATCATCACCTTTGGCCTTTCTCACTGACCTCCTCTTTGGTTCTTGATAACTTTTTTGGTAATCCTCACCCAAGGATATTTTTCCATTGATTTTTAGAGAGAGGAAGGAAAGGAAGGAGAGAGAGAGAAACATCGATATGAGAGAGATGCATCAATTGGTTGACCCCAAATGGGCTGGGGATCAAACCTGCAACTCAGATACATGCCCTTGACCAGAATCAAACTTGAGACCCTTCAGTCCACAGGCCGACACTCTTAATTGCTCAAACTGGCCAGGGTTGTTCTCCGTGACCTTTAACAAATATTTTTGGTTGGTTGATGTATTAGTTACTTTAATTCACCTTTGGTTCTGTTCCAGATGGAATCTTTCCACTGCTCTTTATTTTAGTTATTATTGAATGCACAGGAGAAAATAGGCATTTGTTTATTAGGTTTATTTGAGTATTCTGTATTTAAAATGTTATTTTATCTTTTAATATCCCTGGTCACAAGGATTTTAGGCTGCAGAGCAATGCTGCTGATTCATCCTGTATGTACTGAGTGTTCAGTAATGACTACTCCACACCCTGCTTCACCCATACTGTGCCCCTTCCCACCTCCCCTCAAACCAGGTGTTAAAGGTATCCTCCAGCTCCCATGGACCTTCCTGATTGGTTAAATGCCTATGCTTAAGTGTATCAGCTGTTCAATATTTTGAGTATCATCTAAGAAATAGGTTAGTTTTACATTCTTTTCCTGAATGAGAATTTTTGTTGGATAATGCTGGAAACCCAGGTTGGTCTTTCTCTCCCATGACCAATAACCATCTTCCCTGGTGGGATAAAAGTACATCCTAAACTGACCTGGCCTCCTTACTGTCATCAGGACCAGGCATGATGGAAGAGCTGAGCTGGACTCTGTGGGATGTTTGCTCTCTGGTGCAGCTCCCCAGGGAGGCCTGGGTCTTGTTTTTCGCTACTGTTCAACCCTCAGATGATAGGAACAGCAGTGCCCAACTCCACTCTTAGTGACCTACTGAAGAGCTTGTGGCTCCTGGTTCTTCTTGCCAACCCATTTTTCCTCTGTCTTGCTTGAAAGGTAGTCCTGGCAACACCCAGCCCTGTTTGGTTTTTTTTTCTCACCCAGCCCCCAGTGCAATAATGTGCCATACAGAGACCTGGCTGGACTTGATAGACCGGCGTAAAGATGTACTGATGGAGAAAGAGCAGCATTTCCTGTGTGCTGGAGGTGTAGCGCTGATTTCTAAGGAGAAACCAGCAGGACCCTGCTCTATCATGTATTTGCTAGACCTTGCTAGGTTTATAGCATTAAATGTAGAGGAAGGAGCCCTAGAATGGGATTCCAAAAGCTCAAGTAGGAGCCTAGTCCTGCTACTCACTGTGGGACTTATGGCAAGTTCTTCAACCTCTCTAAGCTTGGTTATGAAATGGAGATTCTACTCATGACCAGCCCTGCCCTAATGGGTTGTTATGATGATAGAATGAGGTTAAGTAGGCTTTGCAAGTATAAGGTGCTGCTTTAGGTTTTGTCGTAATGCGTTATGTGGGGGTGGGGGTGAGGGGAAACATATTTCCCATGGCCACCAACTTCTAACCAGGTCATGACACCATGACGACCAGTAATGGCGACGCATGACCCTTCTGTATGAGAGAAAGCATAGGTGGTGGTGAAGAGCAGGGAGACCAGAATTTTACTGTCATGGTTCAAGTCTGGGGTCTGCCGTGTACCTGGTCTATGGCCTTGGATAAGTTTCTTATCTATAAAGAGGTAATAAGAGTCACACCCGCCTCATAGTGTTGCTGGTGAGGATTAAATTAGTTAATATTTGTAAGTGTCCAGACCAGTGCCTGGGGCATAATAACACTATAAAGTGCTAAGTGAAAATATCTGTGTCAAATTGATTTGTCTTCTTTTCTTTTTATTAATTTTTGAGGCCCTAGGTTGACAAATCAGATTTATTTAAAAAGTATCTCACTGCCTTCCAAAATTTTTACATAAAGTATATATTTGTATAAACCAACAAAATTAATTCCTCGGGAATGATATGTTCCCAAGAATATATGGAACAGGAATGAGAATATATATTGCCAAGTGTGTGCTCATCGCTGTAACATTACAGTGGCCAACAGTTTACTTGTTCTCTCTCAAGGGGAGAAGAAAGGAGGAATGTGGTTACAAACCGAAGGACAAGCTGGAAATAGAGATATGCTTACTTAAGCATGTCGTCATCCTCCCATTTCTGTTCTGGGAATATGATGCCAGGAATTTAAAAGTAGATCCTCACTGAACAATTTACATTAAGTGTCCTTTCTGCAAGTAGTTTCTTAATGGAAAGTGTGCCCATTGTAGGTAAAATCCACCTAAGTTTTAAAATCATGGAAATTACCTTGTCATCCATATTGCCATCAATAGTATGAAGAATTTGGTAAACCACTTCCTTAGATAGGCCAAGACAAGTGCCCCTAGTTTCTTTGGAAGAAGATACTCTATAGATAGGAAGTAGCACTGTGTGTTTGGGAGCTATTGATTGTAAAGGAAAAAACCATTGACTCTCCTTTCTCGAGATGAAAAAAAAATAGACCTTTTTATACCTGGCTGAAATTGACCACCTGTTGTTGCCTCAGTTGAGAAACTAGTGTGACCTAATATATGTGGCTTTTGCCAGACACCAGTATTGAATAGTAGCCATCAATTTCAAAACCAAACTGAAAGAACGCTGAGAAGTAGCAAAATGACCGTACTTTGTGACATTTTCCAGATGCCACTTAACCAAACCATGCAGGACAAGAATTGCTCGAAAGACATTAAGAGTTTTAACTGTTCTTGGCTTTAATTGCCTTTTAAAAAATTGAATTAAAATTACTATTACATAAAATTAACCACTTTATGTGGAAGAGGGCATAGAGGGGATAAATGGTGATGAAAAAAGAAGAAAATGCACGCAATAAAAGAATTCCTGAGAACCCAAACAAAGGCCAGTCTATACCACAACCAGTGAGTGAGTTCTGCTAAAAAAGGAAGTATTGCTGGACTCCAGACATGCTCAGAACCAGACTGACTTCTTAGAAAAACAAAACTAACCACTTCAAATGAACTGTTCAGTGGCATTTAGTACATTCAGTGTTGTCAGCCACCACCTCTAATTCTGAAATATTTCTGTCACCCCAAAAGAAAATCCCATACCCTTAAGCATTAAGCATTTACTTTCCATTCTTCTGGGATTTCTTTCTTTCTTTTTTTTTTTTAAATGAGAAAAACTAATCACAGGTATGTGTTTGTATGTGTGTGTTCTGTTTTTGTTGGGTTATTTGTGTGATACCTTTTCAAAAGGTGCCTTTTGCTTCCAAGAAGGAATGATTTTTTTTTTTTTGTTAAACCCTCACCCAAGGATATTTTTACATCTATCTTCAAACGGGGAAGGTGGTGGTGGTGGGGGGTAGACACATCGATTGGTTGCCCCCTGCGTGATCCCAACTGGGGCCAGGATAGAACTGCAACCGAGATGCGCGCCTTTGGCCATAATTGAACCCGGGACTCTTTGGTCCACAGGCCAATGCTCTAACCGCTGAGCCAAACTGGCCAGGGTGCAAATGTAGGCAGCCTTGACTTTTACCAATTTAGAAGGAGACCAAAACTGTGGGCAGAAATGATGCCTTAATTTCAATGAAAGCAGTGATTGGGCGGATTCACTGTTGGACTTAGGTGGGCGGGGTTAGCTCTTAGAGAAGTACGGAATAAGAACGGCCCAGGATGGCTCTTAGGCCAGAAGGATCTCAGGGCGCTGAGCTCTTTGACAACTCCAGGAAATGTAGTCAGTACAGAAGAACGCTACATTTCCACATATATTCTGTTTTCCTTACTTCCTTATGTCCTATTTCATTCTGTCCTCCTATCCCTCTCTGTCATCTAAAGGAGAGATAGTCAAATGGTGTTACCAGTAAAGGCTGACATTACTGTAATGGGAATGGACACTGTGTCTAGCTGGGATGCTATCTGTGGTGGTATGTGGGTCCCCTTTCTGGCCTCTCTGAGAGGGAAATAAAATACAAAAGAAAATAGTTTGTTTCCCTAATCACTTTCTATATCCATCACATATTGGTAGTCATAATGATCATAAATCATCGGAAAATTTTGGAGAATAATTAGAGACAATCTTAGAGGTCTTGCTTTTTTTCCCTCCTAAATGCCTAATTCAAATAATATTAAGATGTATATCATCAAGTGTATATAGGTTCAACTAATTTTGTATAGCTCGTGCCATGTATAAGTCTAGTCTGGCAAATCAAAGTGTAAATGCAACAAGTGCTTCAGGAAGTTGCCTTTTAAAGGAGCTCAGCCATTTTTTGGTATCATTAATCATTATTTGTTAATTTTTATATTTGAATTTATAATGCATCTAAATATTCATGTATTGTGGTTTTTTAAAGCATTATATAGCTGTTATAGTCTTCATTTATATTTGGAGGAAATAATTATAATATAGATCATTTTTGAAACTAAATAAATTACTAGTGCAGAGTCAAATTTGCTACCCTAGTCTGTGACTGAGAGAGGAGACAAACAAATGGAAAAAGAAATAAATTAAATAATTTGTTTCACTTGTATAACTTTTATTTGTATGGAAGAATAACTATAATCAGAAATAGCAAAGCCTCTTATTGAAAAAGTATTTTTCCAACTAAAATTATGAAAATATTAAAAGTAATAAAATTTGGAAATTTTTCTATATATATCTCATACAGTTATTATGATTTTATCCTATGTGAAATTTGAGCCGTACATTTTTCACTCAATGTGACGACGTAAACATTTCCTGGTATCTGAAACTCCCTCTGAATAGACATTGTCTTATTTACTCATAATGTCATGCTGATAAGTGTTATCTACTGATGGGGAAAAGATGTTCAATTAAAGTGCCTGGCTTTATTCAGAGAGTGTGTGGGACATTTGGCTGGCACAGGCCAGAGCACATGCTGACTGTAATCAACTAATGCCTTAGACCTGCTTATGGTCTGAACTGTCCAAGTCACCGCTTCATCTTTCAGTTCCATATATTTCATGATTGGATTATATATCAACTATTCTCACATATAAAATGCTCACTCTCTCTGAACATAAAGAGGTAGGATAATAGTTTTCTCAAAGTAAGCATTTAGCAGATGTTGATATGAAAGTGGTTTTTTTTGTTTTGTTTTTCATCCTCACCCAAGGACACATTTTTTGCATTTATCTTCAGGTAGAGTGGGAGGGAGAGAGGGAGGAAGAGACACATTGAGTGGTTGCCACCCATACAACCCCAACTGGGGCCGGGGTCAAACTGTAACTGAGGTATGTGCCCTTAATGGGAACCGAACCCAGGACTCTCTAGTCCGTGGGCCAATGCTCTAACCACTGACCCAAAACAGCCAGGGCAATAAGAAAGTGTTTAAAGATTGATGCCTAATCACTTAGGAGAGAGCCAAGCTTCTAGTAATTTGTCATGGTTTTAATTCTAGACATTTATCCTTTTATGAAGAAGTATGTATCACCTTTTGGAATTTCTATAAGAAGTTTTATTTAATATTCTATTTTCATATAAAATGTCCTGATTTCATTGTGGAAGAATATAAAATGTGGGTATTTGGGGAATCTTTATTATAGTTCCTTGAAGTTCATCATGGGGAAAATTCAGCTTCTATACATGTGTTAATTTGTTAATAATGTTTTGTGAAATGGTTTATGTAATTTAAAACCACATCGTCTATAAGGATACTTTACTATTTGGAATCTATATAATTATCATAATTGTTTTCAGATTCATGAAAATATTACATGGAGTCAAACTTAAACATTTTTTTTTTTCTTTTAGCCAGATGAATTGTACTTTGAGGAAGGTGATATTATCTACATTACTGACATGGTAAGCAGCTAAAATTTTGTAATACCATGTATGAATTAAAGATATATAAGACTATTTTGTACAGCTGTAACTTTGTACATTATTTAAATGTGTTTCTATATAGAAATACATATGCTCTTATCTATTCATTTTAGCACAGTTTGTAATAGCATAAGATTAGAAATACCCCACATGACCATCAACAAGAAGATAGTTGAATAAATATTGCTATTTTGGAGTATTATGCAGCTACAAACAATAAAGAATATCTCTGTTGTGGAGTAATCTAAGTGGAAAAAAAAGCAAGATGAAAACATGTGGATAGCATGTCATCACTTATCTAAGAGAAGGTGACAGGATACACATTTACTGATTTTCTTCAATTGGTTGCCTCCTGCTTGACCCCAGGCTGGGGATTGAATCTGCAACCTAGGTACGTGCCCTTGACCAGAATCAAACACAGGACTCCAAAGTCCATGGACTGACGCTCTAACTGTTGAGCCAAACCAACCAGGGCTAGAAGATGGACTTTTAAAAAATTATACTTTGTTTTGGAGATTTGACTTTGGAGTCATGCCAACTTTTTTATAAATATACAATTAAATCAGTATAAAGCAATCTCTGACAACTAAAAGCAGCATGAATCAAGTGAAATTAATTGTGTCCCAGGTAAATTGGCATAACCACACAGAGAGGAACCATTCCAGGTGACTTTAAAACTCAGCAGTTTGAGCATCTCTCGTAGAATATAGATGAGGGGCAAAAAAGACTGCCAAAAAAAATGGAAAACTGTTTTTAAACATGCTCTTGTTGGAGAAGTGTTGGTATTGCTATTGTGAGATAGTTGCATGTGTATTGTGGAGCAAATGAGTCATTAGGTCAGTGATGTTGAAAACTGGAATTTTCAGCCTGCAAGAAAGGATATGGGGAGGTGAGCTCAGTGGGGGTAAGTAAAGACCCTGTAGCTCTGCATTTGAATCGAATGTCGTGTTTTTACCGAAAACAAAACAAAATAATATCTCCTGCTCTATACTTTGAAAAGGCCTAGAAAAAATTACCTTATTTACTAATAATTACCTAAATTAACTAATAATTGTCTATTTATTTCCCATTAAAAGGAGCAAAGTTCTTTTGAGAAATGTTGGTACCAGGTCAGTTAAGGTATAAGATAATTCCCTAACATCTTGTTTTAAGGAAACTACCAAAGACTACTTAGGGTCACATTGGAAAGACACAGGAGCTAAGTTGAAGAGGCTGCCACTAGCCAAAGATAGGACAATTTCAGCAGTCAATTAGAGCAGCAGTTCCCAAGGACTGAAACACATTTACTATGATTAAATGATGAATTTCTAATGATATTTCAAAACAAACATTATCAGACACCCTGAGAGAATGTGAGGGAACCAACTTTTTATTCTGACATCTGTTAAGGAAAATAATCAGCATTTATTCTGCCTTTTTTAAATGAACTTCATCTCTGGGTAACCTGAACATTGATGAGGGAGAGTGTCTCTTTAAAGAAGTATTCTAGTTATTTAAATGAAGAAGGAATGATAGAGTTAGAATCTCATCCATTTTGCAACCCCCATGAAATTATGGATCCAGGTAATGCTCATCAGCGGTTTCTAACAATGCAAAAAGAGACCACCAGACATTGTGTCTTTTGATGGAAAAGATCAAGAGTAACTGTGAAATAGTCTGGCCAAAAAAATTGAGTCTGAATCTAATTAAGCATCTAGAACTCATGACCGATTTAGAGGCAATACAGGGAACAGCGGAGCACATTTTTGCTAGTATAGAAATTCAACAGGCAAATTCCAGGCTGTTTGAAACTCTACAAAACAAACGGACTGATTTTTCTAACAAGTGGATTGTGAAGGAGTGAAAAAAATGAAGGGGAAACCTGCAGACTAACAGACTAAGAGACAAATCAGTCAGTCGTATTGTATGGCCTTTATTTGGACTCCAAATTATAAGACAACTGGAAAATTTAAGTATTGATAATTGATGATATTAAGGAATTATTGACACAAATTTAAACTGTGATAATGGTATTATAATTATGTCTGAAAAAGTCCTTTTCTTTTAGATACATATTGGAATATTTACAGATGAAATAATACAATGTCTAGAATTTATTTCAAAATAGTCTGAGGGAGGGAAGTTGCAGGTGGGGGTATGTATGAAACAGTATTGGCCATAAGTAAATAATTCATGTAGTTAAAAATGGGTATGTGTAGGTTCATTATACTGTCCTTTCAACTTATATATATGGTTTGGATTTTTCTGTAATAAATATTACTCCAGAAATAGAGGTGAAATAAAGATATCTTCAGAAAACAAACAAACAAAAAATCTTGATGCTAACAAAAATTAGACTGGACAAAAAATTTCTATAGATAGTCTGTATAAACTAAATGTAATTCTTTTCTTCTCTTTGTATTATCTCTGTTTGAGTTGTTTGATGGTTGAGGCTCTGTGATGAAGTGTATTTGATTTGTTGGAGACAGATGTGTGAATATTTGTGATTTAGTGATAAGGGGAATGGACATTCGTAACTGGGGAGTGAGGAAGCTTGATCATTGTGACCAGGGCGGATGGACATTTTGTAGAGTGAGTCTACTCCATGAGTCCAGTGGTTTTAAAAGTGATTGGATGTAAACTGGGTCTGCTGCCACTTAATTTAACTCTTCTTTCCCCAGAGTGATACCAGTTGGTGGAAAGGCACTTCCAAAGGCAGGACTGGACTAATCCCAAGCAACTATGGTGAGCATGGCCGCTGTGGCTAGACTTTGGTATGCTCTGTGCACCTTCAGTTATCTGTTCCCTGAGGCCTTTCTGCTCACTGCTCTGGCTGAGGAATCAATGAGGCCTTGTCAGTCTAGCACATTTTCTCCTCCGTGAGACCCCTGTTAATAAAACGGTCATGGACACTGGAAGTGTTTGAGCCTTGACTCATTGGTTTAAGAAAATGCATTGTAGCATTCTTGAAGGAACCCAGGGTTTCCAAGGAAACACTATGCTTTTACTTCATTCAACTCTTAGAACTTTTTTTTTTTGCTGTTGAACAAAATCTCATGGATAGTTTCTTAGACTAGCTCTTTCTTTCTTTTCTGATGAAGTAACCCTGCCTTGTTAATTCATTTTGGGGGCTGTGATGTTCATTAAATGCCTATCAGGGGCAATTTGGAGAGCTTGAGCAGAGAGATGTGGCCCCTGCCAGGAATCCACTTCTAGTTGGAGGGGGGACAAACTAGACTTCCCTAGAAATTGGCAGAGTAAAGTAAATAGAGCCCAGGATTGATAAGCAAGGGTCCTGGGTTCTAAGCCCTTTTCTTCCACTTCCTAATAACCGGGGACCTTACTGAAGGCACTGAACTGCTTGCTACCTCTGGGGCTTCCCTTATCTGGGTAATGAGAGGGTTAGATTTAAATCACTCCTAAGGTTCTTTTTGACTTTAGCGTTAGGTGAATCCTTAGACCAGTTGGCCTGGCATCAGGCGCCAGTTTCAAGCATTGTTAGAAAATTTCAAGGAAGGTACTTTAAAGCTCCTCATGGAGGGGAGGAGGGAAGAAGATGGAGAGCTGAGGCTTGGGACCCAGTACAGGGGGCCTCACCTGCTCTGGTCTTAGGGTGATACCATTTTGGATTTAAAAAGGCTTGAAACTTTTCTACATTGCTCTGACCTTTGAAATCCCAAATATACCTAATTTCTGAGGGTGTAAACTGTTCATAGACACTGCAGTTGTAAAATGTTGCTTTGGATCCCCAGTAACCAAGGGATGTCCAGTTATAGCCCTTTATGGAGGGAGGGGGTGTGTGTGTGTCTGAAGTCTCATTTGCACAGTAGTCTAGTCACCCCTGCTGATTCTAGGACAACAGTGAACATGCCTTCCTTGGAGGCAGGTAGGTGTACTCATTGACCTTTCTGAATACAGGAAGCAAAATATTTTCCTCTTACCTCACCCCTGACCCTGCTCTACACACACAAGGGAAACAGTTATTTTCTGCCATCTTCAGATAGGGTGTTTTTACAGACACATCAAATACTTTCTTTTGCACTTTTGTGACTAAATTTGTTTATTACGGACTTGAATAAACTGGTGTGCAGGCCATGATCTGTTTGTTTTGTTTATACTTCCACTTAATTGCTATGTTATGGTCTTATTGCTTAGCTTGGTTTCATTGAACACATAATTCAGATTCTTTTAAAGCAGAAAACATCATTTAGATTTTCTGCTATGTTTCCCCCCCCACACTAAGTAAGGAAAGTTGGATTGTGGAAGCTGGGGGACTGTGAAGGCTTTAGTGAACCATTTGGGTGACACTCAACATTGGGTTTGTACTTTTTTTTTGTTTCTTTCTAGTGGCTGAACAGGCAGAATCCATTGACAATCCATTGCATGAAGCTGCAAAAAGAGGTAGGCGTGATTCTTTTTGACTGAGATACACAGTACAGTGACACACAGAGATTTTAATTATGTGGTCTGGTGACTTTTGACAAATGTATCCACCCATATAACCAACACCCAGATCAAGATCTTAGAACATTTTTGTCATCCCAGAAAGTTCCCTTTCCAGTTAACTCTCTGCCTCCCCCAGAGGCCATCTCTGTTGTGCCTTGTCATCCTGGAGAGATAAGTGTAATTTTAACTTTAAAATGTCAGTCACAAACACTTTTGAGTACCTCACATACCCCATGCGTGGTGGCAAGTGGAAAGGCATGGTCTGTGACTCCCAGAGCTGAGTCTGGAAAGGGGGTGTGACCGAAAAAGATGCTGGTGTGACACACACAGCAATTGAAGTGTGTTTGAGGCCATAGAGGCCAGCAGGCGTACCAGGAGGGCGGAGGGGTGGGCGCTTCTGGGGGAGAGTGTTGGTGTAGTGAGTGTGTGGTGAGGTGGAGTCGGGGAGGGAGGAACAGGACGGGCTTGCACCTGGGGCTTTATCTGTAGATCAGTGGTTCTCCCCTGAGGGTACTCTTCCCTCCGCACCCTGGAACATTTGGCAATATCTGGAGCTATTTTGGCTGCCATGACTAGGGGGATGCCGCTGGCACCTTTTGGGTAGAGGCTGGGGATGTTGCTGAATATACTGCAGTGTCCAGGACAGCACCGGCAACAGAATTCTCCAGCCCCAGTGTCAATAGGGCTGCTGTTGAGAAATCCTGTGTAGGGAGATTTTGCAAGGCCTGAGAGAACTCCCTTTTATTTCATTTTAGATCTTTTTGAAATCTGAATATGTAAAAGGAAATTATTGGTTTGGGATTGTGCATAAGTGGAACTCCAAAACTGATGTTTAAAATATTTTTTTATAAATTAGATATTTAGGGCATTAGCGAGAGGATTTTAAATCACTAGTTATACTTTAACATATAAGAGTAGCAGATCTGAGTAGATTATTTAGTGTTTCATGTAAAAACTGAAAATATGTTTTAAATATGAATATAAGTAGTGTCTGCTTCTTCTGAGGTTTTGACTGTTTTTGTTCCCCCAAAGTTTCAGGAATTCACAAATGATAAAAAAATACAGAGTAAATACCGTAAGCAGACCCATTTAGGCAACTCTTCCCATTAACGTACTATTAAAAATGGATGTTAATGCTTTCCATGAATAAACTAGAAGTCAAAATGTACCATAATAAATGCATTACTGGGCAGGTCTTAATCTCAGACTCGCTGATTAATCCGTTGTAAATAGAATTTATGCAGGATGAAATTGATTTAAAGGAAAAACAAACAAAAAAATTCTTTCTCTTGTGTTTTTATGAATGTAAAATTTTTTCAGGCAACTTGAGCTGGTTGAGAGAGTGTCTGGACAACCGAGTTGGTGTTAATGGCTTGGACAAAGCTGGGAGCACCGCCTTGTACTGGGCTTGTCACGGGGGTCACAAAGGTATTACCTTTTGTTTGTTACCATAAACGTCCGTGCTTCTGAAAAATGTGCTTCATTGAGGGGAGTCAGATTTACAGAAATGAAAAAAAAAAATTGGTTTCTCTTTTCAAATCCTTTAGAACATCAGCCAATAGCCTGTTCCTGGAAGCTTTTTCTGTGATGTGGAAGGTTGAATGTGATCAGCCTCCCTGACTTGAAAGAGTGGCAGCTTCCTTTCCTCTCTCAGACTTGGCAGAGTCGCAGGAAAACAACAGTGATATAAAAGCAAACCCCAATATCTAATCTTACAGAAGATTATAAGGGCCTCACTGACTCCTGGTGTAGGTTTTTCCATGATATGCTTTTATGATGTAATTTTAAGTTTAATGCAAACTGTTAGATTCAGGAGAAAGAGCATTTACTTGAGTTAGTGATTCATAGTTGGTAACTTTCTCTGTTATAGTCAATAGTAATAATGACAAATGGAATTTCTAGACGTATTTCAGACTGGCCAAAAATCTGCCACAACCCCTCTCTTTATACCTCTCTCTACAACACACAAACATAATCCCAACAACGATGAGAAACAACCCAACAAATTGGGTAGTACAGCGAAAGGGAAATTTATGGTTGTCTCCCCAAAGATACCCATTTTATTTTAGCTAATAAACAAAAATTAGTGATATGAATATTAAGTATCATAGTGAGTGTAAAATATTCCTATAATGTCTTGTAAAAATGCAAAAGCCAAATTATTTGAAAAAAATTTTCCCAAATAATTCTACCTTTTAGAGTCTTAAGACTTCAATTTAGACACATTTTGAAAAATTTGATGTAAGGATTTTCTTCAAGATTCTTCTAAAGAATTCTCTTCTTTAAACTTACTATGCCTAGTTTTGTCAGACTTTTACTTCTTATTCTTAATTTTTTTTTCTATTTGAATTTCAGATATAGTAGAAGTGCTATTTACTCAACCAAACATTGAACTGAACCAACAGGTAAGATTGTTTACATGAAAGCCATTTAACACACTTCCCTTATTCTCTTTGTGGAACTTATGGGCATGAAAAATCATAGCCTAGTGTCTTGAACTGACCTTTTCCCATTTGTTATCTTTCACAAATTTTAATCAAAATACTACAAGCACATAGTTAAAAATTATTATTGTGCTAAAGTTCAAATTGTATAAAGCCCGAGATGCTGACCACATTCCTCCTTGTCTATCACTTTTGGCTTTTAGCTCTTTCTTCTTACCTTCATGTTACTTAAGAAAATACTTATGAAGCTGTGTCATAATTTATCATCTTCATATGCATTTTGGTGTCCTATCTGGTAGGTGCAGGTTTAAGTTTGTCAACTGCCCAACTCTTCCTCCGCTGGTCTTCCCAACGTATCATATGATAGTTTTTGGTCATATTACTGTATATTGCTTACAATTTTATGGCTAATTAAATATTGTTCACTGCTTGTATAACTTCTTTGTTTTTACATTTTCTGACTTTTATTTCGCTTTTTTTTTTTTTTTTTTTGGTATCTCACAAAGACTTCTACACTGTTTTATACTCTCTTGATAGATTTTTCCAAAATGCGTAAGATAATCAAGTGCTTTCATCTTTCTCCCTGGAATCATACTTCCTGAAGCCATTCATGCTTATTCTCTGTTCTGAGCAGCTTGGTTGGTGCTGCCCTTTGCTGCCACCCTGGGAAGCCCTTCACCTCTCTCCCGCGCCGTGTCTTCACTTTTCTGGGTCCCGTGTCTTCCATTTGTTGACGAACATCTTCAAGTAGATTCCTGAGAAAGGAGAGCTTACTACTGATTATTTGGTTGACAGAATTATAGGTTGAAAATGATTTCCTTCAGAATTTTGCAGGCATGCCTCCATGGTATTCTACTCTCTGGGGTTGCCTTTGAGAGGTTTCAAGCCATTCTGTGTGTGATGTGCTTTTTCTCTGGTTTGGAGTCTTTAACTTTGGTGCTCTAAGTTCACAATGATGGGCTTTAGTGTGGGTCTTTTCCCAATAATGATGGTGATTTTTTTCAGCTGGAAAAATATCTTGTGTTATTTCTTTTATAGTTTTTATGGTCAGTTTTCTGACCTTTTTCTTTGTTCTTTCATTCTGAAAGACCATTGTAGTGATGTTTGACCTCTTAGGTTGAACCTCCAATTGTCTTAGTTTTTCGGAGATTTTTCTCACTTTTATCTTCATGTTTTATTTTTGTTACCTTTTTTAGTTACCCAAAGCTCTTTATAAGTTTTCTATTGCTATGTAATAAATTACCACAAATATAGAATATAAAACAACACCCATTTACCTTACATTTTCTGTAGACCAGAATTCTGAGCATGGCTCTGCTCAGGTCTCACATGTTGGACTCAAGGTACTGGCTGGAGTAGGATTCTCATATGGAGCTCATATCCTATTCCAAGCTCATTCAGGTCACCAAGAGAATTGAGTTTCTTGTACTAGTAGTAATGTGGCCCTCAGCTTTGAAAAACCACTGTTCTCCATTGGCAGTTCATGACTATCTTGCTCTCTTCCTCAAGGCCAGCAGGAGATTGTGTCTCTAACACTGTACCTATTTTGGAAAGAGCACATCTGATTAGGTCAGGCCCACCCAGTATAATCTCCCCTTTGGTTAACTCAACATCAAATGATTAGATACCTAATTATGGGAGTGCTGTTTTGTTATATTCACTGGTCTCACCCACACTCAAAGGGAAGGAATTGTACAGTGGGTGTGTGCCAGGGAACAGGAGTCTTAGGGGCCATCTTAGAATTTCGGTTACCCCAAGCTCTTTCTTTTACTCTGTTATTTTAAATAGCATCTTTTTTCTTGTTTGATTATTCATTATCGTCTTATATCTCTGATGCTAATTACAGCTTTTAAATAATTTTCTTCTGTTCACAGTACTGTGTCTTTTTCCTCAGAGATGCATTTATTTTGTTTGGTGTTTGCTCAAGTACAAGAGACTTTCCTCAAATACCTAGTGTCTTTGACCCTTCATGTCTAAGTGTAATTGGAAACTTTGTGTGCTCGAGGGGCTTGTTGGCTGGTGGGCTTCTCCATAGGGTGAAGTGGTGAGGTCCTGGCTGTTTTGCTGGGTTGTCCCCATATGCCAATATGAGTACTCTCTCCCTCCTCTACATGTGGGGATATTCAGCTTCACCAGAAAAGTAACCTCCAGCCTCCTGCCTGGGGTACATGCTAGATTGTACACAATGGGGCAAGGGGGTCAAAAAGGCAGCTGGGAGAGCAGTCATACTGCTCAGTGTTTAGGGTTTTCACCTATCCCCTGGTTTTATTTCTTGGCCTTATTGCCACCATTTTCTGTATCTAGTCTCCATGAGCTTGGAAACTATCTGGTTAATTTCTTGACAGGGTAATTCTAGCATCGGTACTGGGTCATCTGGCAGGAAGGAGAGAGGCAGGTGATCTGGAGTTCTGGGGTTACTCTTTATAAACACTTTCACCCAGTACCCTTGTTTTCACCCCATGCCTCATTCCTGCTCCAGTGTCTCCAGGCATCTCCAGTTCCTAATTCATGCCAGGTCTCTGTCGGAGGACACCTGCTGGCTGGCTTCCTCCTGGTGTCTTCCTCTGCAGGTGTCTGCACTTCTGCTTGGCTGCAGTCATGGTGGTTTCTATTCCTCATCCCATTGCATCTCCCAGCATGACTCACCTCCCACCTCTTGAGTCTCCTTTTGTTCTTTGGAATTTTATATGATTTTAAAACTTCCTTCTCATTTGAGGTTTACTTAGAGCAATGATGTTCTACTGGTGTGCTGCAAAAAATTTTTAAACATGCAATACCTGGCTATTTAGTCAGGGGCCCGGACCTCTTTTCCCTTAGATTGTCAAATGAAAATATGACAACAGCCAACACAGTAATAGCTGTTCAATGTGAATGCCCTATCTTTGAACCAAAATATATAGGTCATATAGTAGAGTTGTATCTTATTGGTCTTGTTGCATAATAAGATTGCATCTGATTGGTTAATTCTTAGTCCCAGAAACTCTTTTTTTTTTTTTTTTTCTCACCAGAGGATACCTTTCCATTTTTTGTTCAGATAGAGTGGGAGGGAGAGAGAGGAACAGAGAGAAAGAGAAACATCGATGTGAAAGGGATACATCTAGTGGTTGCCACCTGCACGACCAACCAGGGCCGGGGACAAACTACAACCGAGGTACATGCCCTTAGCGGGAACCGAACCCGGTCTCTCTGGACCGCAGGCCGACACTCTAACTGCTGAGCCAAACTCGCCAGGGCAGTCTCAGAAATTTTTATATACAAGTGTAGGGACCTGATTTTTTAAAAAGTCACTTTGGCCCTGGCCGGGTAGCTCAGTTGGTTAGCGTGTCATCCCGATAGGCCAACGTTTTGGGTTTGATCCTGGTCAGGACACATACAAGAATTAACCAATGAATGCATAAATAAATGAAACAACAAATAAATGTTTTAAAATAAATAAATAAAATAATTAAAAGTCTCTTTGGAGTAAAAAGGGTAGGTAATTACCTTTATTATATATTTTTTATGAATCAGTCAAAGCTATACCTATTTGTTTTTGTCAGAGAGCTAAAAACGATTAATTTTGGTGTGCTGCAGAATTTAGTAATTAGTTTATGTGTGCCATGAGATGAAAAAGGTTGAAAATCACTGACTTAGTGTAAGCCTAAATTCCTATGTGTTTTCAGTTTATACCATTTAAAAATGCTACTTTCTCTCTCAGTGTTTTTTTCTTTGTCAATTTTTTGATTGAATTTATTGGGGTGACATTGGTTAATAAAATTATATACGTTTCAGGTACACAATTTTATAACACATTATCTGTATCTTGTATTTATTGTGTGTTCACCACCCCATTATGCTAAGTGAAATAAGCCAGTCAGAGAAAGACAAGTACCATATGATTTCTTTTTTTAAAATCCTACTCACCTGAGGATATGTTTTACTGATTTTAGAGAGGTGGGAAGAGAGAGAGAGAAACATTGATCAGTTGTCCCCACTGGGGATTGAACCAGCAACCTTTCCCTACAGGAGATAATGCTCCAAGCAATGGCCAGGGCATCATGTGATTTCACTCATGTGGAATCTAATGGACAAAATGAACTAACAAACAAAATAGAAATGGACTCATAGATAGAAAACAGACTGTCAGCTATCAGAGAGGAGTGGAGTTGGGGGATGGGGTGGGGGGACAGCACCGGAGATGATGGGATTAAGCTACTTTCTCTTTTTATCACCATAGAACAAGTTGGGAGACACAGCTTTGCATGCTGCTGCCTGGAAGGGTTATGCAGATATTGTCGAGTTGCTTCTGGCGAAAGGTAAACTGCTGAGTGTGTCTGGTTTTTGCTTACCCTGAACAATACGATATATCTAATTGTACCAGTAGGAATAATAATAAACTACTTATTTTAAAACTGGGATTTTTAACCTCTACTCTTGTGTGTATCACAGAGTTGTTATGAAAAGATAGAATTATTGAGGTGATCTGTGTAAGTTTTTAGTTTTAAGTTAAAACCAACTTAAGCTTTAAAATTGCATATATTCATTTTAGTAAGAGCTTATTGTACATTTCTGTAGGATTAAAGGGCCTTAGAAGAAAGATGTATTGTGTGCGTGTGTGCATGTGCTTGAACAGGCAGAGGAGGTCCTCTCTGAGAAAACTGTACAGGTGACGTTTCTGCAGCCCCTGTTCTCACAGGAAAGTCTCGATAGGTAGGAAAGATTCCTGTAGCTGCTGTGTCCTGCTCTGAGCTGAGCAGGTATTAGCTGTACAGAGAATGGGAGAAGATCCCTTGCTTCCCTGTTTTTTGCACAAGTCAGAGGGAACTGTGAAATTATGGACTGACCATCCATCTATCCATTTTGTCCCACAAATATCAATTAAGCATTACAGTGAGCCATGCATAACACCTGTACCATGCCCTGGTCTAGAAGGCTATATAGATGCTTGAGCCCCCAAGGCACATGTTACCTGGATGCACTGTCATAAGGGCTCCTCGGAGCAGTGTGGGATATATGAGAGGAAATGGATTTTTTTGTTTGTTTTTTAAAAAATCCTCACCTGAGGATATTCCTCCATTTATCTCCAGACAGAGTGTGAGGGAGGGAGGCAGGGAGGGAGAAAGAGAGAGAGAGAAACATCCATGTGAGAGACACATCGATTGGTTGCCTTTTGCACGACCCCAACCAGGGCCAGGACCAAACCTCAACTGAGGTACGTGCCCTTGACTGGAATTGAACCCATGACTCTTTGGTCCTTGGGCTGATGCTCTTAACTACTGAGCCAAACTGGCCAAAATTTTTAATTTTTTAAATTTTTTATTTTTCCTTATTGATTTTAGAGAGAGAGGTAGGGGGGGGGAGAGAGAGAGAGAGAGATAGAAACATTGAAGAGAGAGAACATTGCATGGCCACCTCCTGCATGTCCCCCATTGGGGATTGGGCCCACAAACTGGGCATGTGCCCTGACTGGGAACCGAACTGGTGACCTCTTGGTGCATGGGTTGATGCTCAACCACTGAGCCACACTGGCCAGGCAAGAGGAAATGCTTTTAATTTAAAGTATATTGATGATGTAAACTCTAGGTCTGCTAGATCGGACACCACTGCAGTGCCCACCAAAGTTATGCCAAGAGCCGCACAGTCAGCTACAGCAGCTCCTGGCCACGTGTACGCTTGAGCCCCTGAAATCAGGCTACTGTGAACTGGGGTGTACTGCAAGTGTAAAATGACTGGAGAGTTCAAAGACTTCGTGAAAAAATGTAAAACAGCACAGTCATTTTTATAATGGTTACATGATGAAGTGATAACATTTCAGATGTGCTGAGTAACATAAAATATATTATTGGAATGAATTTCGCGTCTGGAAAATGCAGCCACTAGGAAGTTGAAAGTGACACACCATGGCTCAGGCTGTGTTTCTGTCAGGCAGCGCTGGTCAAGGACACAGGAAGTGGCTGTTTCTTCCCAGCATTGCTGTCTCTGAGCATTTCCTGTCCTGACAGAAATCACATCTGAGTCCTCAAGTGTAATTTAATGTAAGACGTGGTTAATCACAAAACTGTTAGCCCTCAGGACCTTTGACCTGGAGCACAGTGAGAGGAGGTTTTCCATAGAACCCTAACTGTGGAGAGGTTTAATTCTGCTCACGAGAAAGATGTTCACACGCAGTCACCATATTCCTAATTAAACATAATGTTTTTCTCTGGACTCAGTATTTTTGTGCCTTTGCGTTTTAGGAATTTGTTTTTAGTGTGTTGAAGAGGCTGTGGTTGCAAAGAAAATGGTGCATTGTGGCAGGAAGTACACTTGGTAAAGCCTCGTTGGAAAGCAGGCTGATAGTAACTAGGATAATTAAAAATGTGCATATTCTTACGTTTCAACACAGCTTCTAGAAATATATGTATAAACAAAGATGTTGTATGATTTTGTGTTTATGTACATGTGTGTCTGTGAATGCATCCATGCACGTGACAGTGATAGCTGATGCCCACTTGTGAGGAATGGTTACCTCTGGAGAAGGTGGAAGACAGGGAAGGCTGCATTTGTTAGGAGATGAGATGGACATATGATTTTGGTCAGCATACTTCTGCATTTTTGAATCTAAGGATGAGAATATTTTCATGAATTCTGATATAATTTTTAACATAATAAAGACGAGGAAAAAAGTGTGTAGAAGATGGACTTTGAGAATTATGAATTAATTGCCTCTGGGTTTTTTTTTTTTGTTTTTTTTTATCCTCACCCGAGGATATTTTTCCATTTTTTGTACAGAGAATGGGAGGAAGAGAGAGGAAGGGAGAGAGAGAGAAACATCGACGTGAAGGGACACATCGAGTGGCTGCCACCCGCACGATCAACCAGGGCCGGGGACAAACTGCAACCGAAGTACGTGCCCTTAGCGGGACCGAACCCGGGTCTCTCCGGACCGCAGGCCGATGCTCTAACCGCTGAGCCAAACTGGCCAGGGCGCCTCTGGGTTTTATGATGTTACTCTTCTGCTAATTTACATGAGAGTATACTTATAGATATAAAATATGAATTCCCCTCAAGCTCAACCTTCATGGTCTCTCCTTCTTGAACAAAAGAGGCAAAGGGTGTATTGAATCTTATCTCCAGTCATGCTGAGGCACACTCACTATTGGTGTCGAACTGATGTAGGATTTGACATAGGGACAGTCAACTCCACACGGAGAAGTTCACATCAAATTCTAGAGGGACTTGAAGGGAAAGGCTTTATTTTTTTTTTTTTTTTTTTTTTTTTTTTTTTTTATCCTCACCCGAGGACACTTTTCCATTTTTTGTTCAGATAGAGCGGGAGGGAGAGAGAGGAAGAGAGAGAGAGAGAAACATCGATGTGAAGGGACACATCGAGTGGCTGCCACCCGCACGACCAACCAGGGCCGGGGACAAACTGCAACCGAGGTACATGCCCTTAGCGGGAACCGAACCCGGGTCTCTCTGTACCGCAGGCCGACGCTTTAACCGCTGAGCCAAACCGGCCAGGGCGAAAGGCTTTATTTTGATTGTGCATAATTATCACAGGTGCAGCAACAAGCTCCCTGATTAAAGATGCCAAATGTGCTATTACTGGTTTGGGAAAGTTTTTCTGCTTTGAAAAAGCTTGCTTCTGGACCAGAAAAGTTCTCCAGTTAGTTTTGCCAAAAGTGATCATTTTTGGTGGAAAGAGTATTGCTACTGCTATAGTCTTCAAAAACATCTAATTCACTTTTCTTGTGTCGGGAAAGGTGCTAGAACAGACTTAAGAAACAATGAAAAGAAGCTGGCCCTGGATATGGCTACTAATGCGGCCTGTGCAACCCTCCTGAAAAAGAAACAGGGAACAGGTATGCTAACTCTTCTTTCTTCTAGGGTGCCATCACGACTAAGATTTATCAGCTTAGTATTGGGAAAATTTCTTCTTGCTAAACTCTTCGGGTGATGCTGAAGTTAGATTTTATATCCCTGGTCTAAATCAGAACCTCTGACACAGAAGGATACACTCACGCAAACAAATTTGAAGAGACAAATTAAACATACACATTTTTGTATACGTCTTTGTTTCTTACAATCAGGTTCTAATCACCTTGCTTTCCATTGCAGTCCTTATCAGAGAACCATGGTCTCCATCTCTTTTCAAATATGTTTTTATGAGTGGATATCTCTAAATATTTTTTAACGTAAGCACTGAACAGACCCATGATTATATTATGTTTCTGTTTTAAATGAGGGCCTCAATAAACTATAATCAAAATGGTTTTACGCTTTGTAAACATTTGGGTAGTTTTTAAAGATGAAGCGTAGGCGTACATTCGTAAAAATGAAAATAGCTATTGATGTGAAGAGAATAGGTTTGGAAAAAAAAAGAAAGATTTGTGTGGTTGTTTTCAAAAGGTGTTAAAGAAAGGTGTTAAACATGGTTGCAATCATTCCTGTTTACTATTTAGAGACTGGATGCTTATTTGACCTCTCAGTACATAGCTTATTGAATGTATCCCCCCAGAACCATTCTAATGTAATTCCTGAAAGAAATGCTGGGATGGTGTGCCTTGAACTTTTCTTTCTAGCTCCCTCTTCTCCCCTTCACTCCCCGCCCCTCCCCTTCATCATCAACCTTCTGGCCCTGAGAAACCCAGAGATGTAGGAAAAAGAAAGGTAGAAGATGATTTGGTTAGAGGGAACTTCTCGTCTCTTTCTTTTTCACTTCTTAAGGTTTATCATACTTTATTACCTTATGTTTGGCACTTTATTTTAAAAAATTGTTTTTCTTTATTGATTTGAGGGAGAGAGAGAGATAGAAATATCAATGAGAGAGAACATCGATCGATTGGCCGCCTCCTGCCTGCCCCCCACTGGGGATTTGGCCCACCACCTGGGCATGTCCCCTGACCAGGAACTGGGTCGATGCTCAACCACTGAGCCACACTGGCTGGGCATGTTTGGCACTTTAATACCACTTTGAAGTATATAATTTATACATATTTTTCACTGTTTTTTTTTTTTTTTTAATCCTCACCTGAGGATACTTTTTCTGTTTATTATCAGATAGAGTGGGAGGGAGGGAGAGAGAGAATCATTGACATAGGAAGGACACATCGACTGGTTGCCTCCCACATGACCCTACCAGGACTGGGGACAAACTGCAACCGAGGTATGTGCCCTTGACTGGAATCGAACCCGAGACTCATTGGTCCACGGGCCGGCACTCTAACTGCTGAGTCAAACCATCCAGGGCTTCATTGTTTGTTTGTTTTTTTTTTTAAAGAAAGGGACCAGTGTAATGGGTTTTCCAGGTCTTTAGCATGGCTACTTACCATTCTAACCCCTCTTAGTGTTGCTTTAGAGTTTAAAGTTTAGACTGATGAATCTTGATGGAAGATCACAATACAACTTTTGAGAAATTTCATTATAGAGGTGAAGTGCACATGTTTTCATTTTAACTTGAAGGTATATCACTTTCAGAGATTGCGTGACGCGATACCGATTTCTGTTTTTATCATTTGAATTGATTTTTTATTAAGTTTTGAACCCTGGGCAAACTTATTTCTCCCTCAGGTATCCTTTTATTTATGAGAAGAGGCAACCTTATACTGTCCCATACATATTCCAGTCCTAGCAGAAGCAACAAAATAAAGTCAGTGCCCTAGTTTCCTGTTTCAGTCAATCAAAAATACCACAGTCCCCTTCTCTGCGTGGCTCGCCAAGGGGGCTTCCCAAAATTATCCTCCTTACCTATCATCAGATTCCCATCATAGCCCTCGGAATCTATTGTTCTTGTTTGTTCTTTATTCCAGATGTGTGTTTGTTCCAGATTCTTATTTGGTATTCTTTAACTATTTAAGCCTCGAGGGCTCCTTGGTAGAGCAAGTCTTGCTTTAAAGTCATTGCTCCTGTAGAGATGAAGTAGGTTCTACTAGTGCGGGAGAAAGCATTTACCAGCTGAGCGATGCTCCACAGCCGCATTGTTGCTGAGCAGCTATATTTGCAGCCATGTGGGAGAGAGACTTTTACTTGAGGTCAACCTGTTACTCCTTGCTTCTTTGATTGGGGCAGGAAGTACGACTCTGGCCTAATTTCCTTTCCCTGCTACCAACTTCCTGTTGCTCTGTGGGTACCTTCAACATGTCCTGTCCGAGGAGTAAGTTTTCTCATGAGTTAAAGGTTATCAGAATCTCATGCCTAGTATGAGCTTGATCGTGATAGGCAAAGAAAATACCAGACCTGTTCAGCCCCTAGAGAGCTGCACCCACAGCCTTGACATGTGCAGCTGGACTGGGGAGAGGCGGGTGGCAGACTCTTGTCTTTGCCCCTCACCTTCATGAAGGCTTTGTAGAATAGGGCTGGAAGGTGGGTGCTCTTTTTCTCTGTTCACTCCTAAAAATGTAGTGACTTCCTAAATATGTAGTGACTAGATAATGGATTTGTTAAGGAGGTAACCTGGGGGCCGAGCACACAGAGCCAAGAAATGAATTTTCATGTTACCTGTTTTCTCTTTTCATGCTTCATTTCCCCAATCATTCAGTTAAAAAGTTTTGATCCTAGTTGCCATCAGAATTTGAATATTGGGCTAGGTAACTAATTGCCAGCATGAACTCTAGTTGGAAAAGGTATATTCTGATATTGTTGTCCACTTTTAAAAGCACATCTTGGATTCTTTAAAGGGACAAAATAATTCATTTGTTTTAGTTACCATGAAGGGTAACTTTAGGATATAGAGAAGGAGTCAGGGTCATATTTGAGGGTTGAGCCCTTAAATTCTTTTTCCAATAAAAAAAAAAAAATCGGGATATAATTAAGTAACGTATATAAATCCTAAGTGTACAACTGAGTGATGACTTTTTATTTTTCTGTGTGTGTACTTATTTGCTACAACCCAGACCGAGATGGGAAACATTTCCCATACTCTAGAGGCCTTCCTCAGCATCCTTGCTGCTCTCACCATAGATTAGCTTTGCCTCTTCTTGCACTTGACGTACATGGAATCAAGCAGTATGTACTTTTTTTGGTCTTAACTTCTTTCCCTTAACATTATTTGACATTTATCCATGTTACGTGTTTAGCCCTCCATCATTTATTTATTTGCTGCCTGTATGTCTGTCTGAAGCGCTGGTGCTTGATTTGGACACGTAAGTCCAGGGTAGTGAGACCGAGGGAGAACGGAAGTGAGGTACGGGCGGTGCCGAGGTGCTCGGGTGATGCTTTGGTCATGCTGGTCGTGCTCCAAGACAGGCTTTGAAGAGATACAGCTCATGACTCAGCATTTGTCCATATGAGAAGTTTCCAGAGAAACTGCCTCAGAACAGTTTATGAGAGGAAGGAAGGAAAAGGCATTTATTTGCCGGACTCATTTCTATCTCTTGAGTTCTATTCAGTGAGAGTCTACACCATGGGAAATCATCCTTCTGGTGCTAACGGGAGAAACAAGGTTAAAACACAGTGCAGAAGTAACCCTTGAAGGGCAAAGAATATCTCAAATGCCACAAAATGCAGCATTGTAGTAGCAAAGTAGAAGGGAAAAGAACTTTGCTGTTTGTCTTTTTTGTGTTATGCTTAAAAAGCTGCTTTTACCAAGTCGGCAGCCAGTCCTGAAGGTTGTGGGTGTATGTGGGATAGAACAAAATATATTTCTCCCATGTCTCCAGAACTCCTCGTAGGGGAATGGAGAAGAATATAGTCAGTCTGGAGATTTCTAATAATTTGGAAGTGAGGTCGTTGAAGTTTCCCTGCTACAATATCACTAACGTACCAAAACTTAATAAGTCCTTTATATTATCAAATGTCATTTTCCAAATTTGCCACTTTTTCTTCTACCTGTTTGTTTATTCTTTTTACTTACATTTTGTATAAGTCAGGGTCCACATTAAGTAATTGACAGATCTGTCTCTTAGTGTTTTTTTCTTAAATCAGTGTTTCCTTTCTTTTCCCTCTTCCTCTGTTTCTAGCCTTGCAATTTATTTTTAAAGAGACTGGGTTAGTTTACCTGAATTTCCCAGCGTAGATATTGTAAATATGCATTCCCATGATGGTGTTTGTCACATTCTCCTGTCTTCTGCATTTTTTTTTGTCAATTGATGTTAGATCTAGAGGTTTGATTAGATTTAGATCTAGCTGTCATAAGGGGAGAGGAAAGAATACTTTGTAAAGAATATCACATTCTTGCCCTGGCCGGTTTGGCTCAGTGGTTACAGCATTGGCCTGTGGTCCAGAGAGACCCAGGTTCGGTTCCTGCTAAGGGCATGTACCTCGGTTGCAGTTTGTCCCCGGCTCTGGTTGGGTCGTGCGGGTGGCAGCCACTCGATGTGTTCCTTTCACATCGATGTTTCTCTGTCTCGCTCTCTCTTCGTCTCTCTCCCTCCTGCTCTATCTGAACAAAAAATGAAAAAATGTCCTTGGATGAGGATGAAAAAAAAAAAAGAATATCACATTCTTTATATATAATATAATATCTGGTTGTGACCCAACCTATGATGTTCGCATCCACTGACGATTATGGTTTAGATCCATTATTTTACTACTGGCTGCAAATGGTGATATTCTAATCCCGGTACTCCTTTCCTCAGTTATGAGCTGGAACATTCTATAAAGAAACATTTCTCCTCATCAGCTGTTTGGTTACCACGAGGAATAGTTCATGTAGAAGCAGCAGAATAAAGGCTTGCTCTTTGCAAGAGGTTTCAAAATAATGTGCGGATTCCCTATCAGTCTCCAAAGGGGACCAGTGCATTCCCTGAAATATTTGAAGTGTTTTCATCCCTTATAATTGGGTCTTTGTGGATATCTTTGGCTAGTGGATGCCTCTTTAGGTTGGATCCTGAACCCTTTTAAAGTGATGCTATTTTTGGTAGGATCCTTGCTTTGTGACATGACATGGTTCCAGGTACATTTTTTTTCTCTACATTTTCTGCTCCAGACTTGAAATTAGTCATATCTCCAGTGAGCTGTGGGGATGTAGTATTTAGAGACATGATCTGGGTGCTATAACATGTATTTATTGAGCTCTAACAATGTGTTTATACATGCATTTCAGTTTTCTGCCTTAAATTATACTAGTGTAACTTGTTGCTATAGAAATTTGATTAGACAGTTGAATAGGTGAACAGTTAAAGGTCCAATGTCTTTTTTTAAGCCCCATTCAAAGTTGATTTTTACAGTCTATGAGGTTCAGCTTTTTTTATTTCAAAACTTTTATTTATTTTTCATTTCAGTCTTCTGCTTCTGAATATACTTTATTAGTGTTTTCTACAACGAAACTGAAGCTTCTGTGTTTTCATTCTCTTTCTTTTCCCTTTTCCCCTCATTAGTTATCTTTCTACCCAGTGACCTTGCCTTCAGGTAAGGCTGCAGGCTGTTGACCGACTGAAGCCAAGTGTGTGCTTGTCATTGGGGGAGGGGGTTGGAAGCACAGTTGTCAGAGGGGAGGGGCTCCTGGTGTGTTCCACGTTGGTCATGGTTTATTTTGTACAAGATAGAGTAATGGTACCTCAGTACCACGTGTTTTACTGTTTTGCATGTCTAAGGAACGTGCAGACAAAGGTATTTACCAGCCTCTCTGGCAGCAGAAACTGAACAGTTAGGCTGAAAAGCAAAAGTTGAAAAAGATCCTTGGGGAAAGGACCACCCCTGGGTCTGAGAAAAGATGACAATTTGTTGATTTGTCAGGAGCTTTGAAAATGAAAACAAAGTCCAAGCAATTTTTAATTTCTCTCGTTTGCTTTCTTCCTCAATGTTTTTTAGATGCTGTTCGAACATTAAGCAATGCCGAGGAATATCTTGATGACGATGACTCAGATTAATTCCTTTCAGAAGCTTTAAGAGCTGAAACTTCTGTTGCTTTTGCCATTACAGAATCTTGTCTTTGCCAGAAGAGTGTTGGTAACTGTTTTTTTGTTTTTTGTTTTTTTTTTAAATGTCCATATGAAAATGGCAGTATTGCACTGTTTAGTAGAACATGTAAATGAATAGTTCTCACCTTTGGTTTGCCAATAAGTGACTGGATGCTTTGCTGTATAAAGTACGTTTTTGTTTACCAGAGTAGAACAAGATTATTGCTATTTATCAAGTTAAAGGAATTTTAAGAATTTATTTCTTTAAAAAAAAATCAGGATGGTTTTTTAAATTAAATTTCTTTACCTCAAGGATTGAGATGTTCTGAATGGGTTTTTCAAGGGGGGAAGTGCTTATTATAATAATAAACCAAAAGACAACAGAAAACCGTCAGTTATTCTGACAAAAATAAACATTTTAAGAGACTTTATTCTTTTTGTCTGTTTTTCTGGTATCACTCTTTGCTGGTAAATAAATAAAGCTTTTTATATTTAGGTAAAGACTGATGTTATTTATTTAAATTATATTTGTATTTGTTAGCACAGAAGAATCACAGTAGCCAAATCTCTGTTCAACTTTCTGTATCTGCTTTGATTAAAGTCAAGACAAGAATCACTGAAAAGATACATTTATAATAAAGCATAAAACTTTAATAACTACAAGATTTCCAGTTTTATCTCCAAGGTTATACTTAGTGTGAAGAAACCTAGCAGCTCATTCTTAAGGTTTCAAAGTTTAAAGAAATGATTGCCTTGGCTGGGTACTAGGTTAGAGCATTATCTTGATACACCGAGGTTGTGGGTTCGATCTCTGATGAGGGCAAATACAAGAAGCAACCAATGAATGCATAAATTAATGGAACAAATCGATATGTCTCTCTCTCCCTTCCTCTCTCTCTAAAAAAAAGAAATGATTTTCTTATTATGCAAGATGCCATAGTTTTTCATAATGGAGTAGCCAGAAGCCATGAACTTTTCTTGGCTTTCAGTTTTTCACTTTGATAATCTTTCTTTCTCAGAGCAGGGCTCTGGTTCATAATGATTCAGATTCTTTTGCTAAAACATCAATAAACATTGCAGGGAGCCTTCTGTACTACTGAAGTGACACTGTATTTGAGATTCTAATTTTGTATCACTACTGTGATGATACTGAAAATGACATGGCCATTGGCATTTGTCCAAATTCCAGGCACAAGGACTAGGAGTATATTTTGCAAGAAGACTTCGATACTAATTTCAAAAAACACATTGGTGAAGAGAAGGAAATGTTTGAAAAAGGAAGTGGGTTAGCTCAGGAAACAAATAACTGCCACTATACAGGTTTCCTCTCTCTGGCACTGTTTGATTTTCTCTCTGTGAGAAATGAGAAAAAGGATACCCTGAGAAGCTGTTCGAGGTCTTTCAAAAATACCCCAACTAAATTTTAGAAAGAAATCTGTATGAGTAGTGACAGAAAAAGATGAGCTCAAAACATGAAATTAGTAAAAAATGATATTTTATTCTCAAAACATGTATGTTAAACAAATATGAGTTAAACATTTGTATTTCTGCCTGGCTGGTGTGGCTCAGTGGTTGAGCATCGACCCATGTACCAAGAGGTCGCTGGTTAGATTCCCGGTCAGGGCACATGCCCAGGTTATGTGCCCCATTCCCAGTGGGGAGCATGCAGGAGGCGGTCAATCGATGTTCTCTCTCATCGATGTTTTTCTCTCTCTCCCTCTCTCTATAAAGTCAATAAAGAAAAAAAAAAAAGGAAAAAAATTGTATTTCTTTATAAGCATAAATTAGAAGATATGAAATCATTATTGAAATTATACCTGTTCTCAGAAATCCTTTAAGGATTTGTTCCTTAAAAGGGGGGTTTGTGCCATAACAAAAAGCTTTTGGAAATCTCTGATTTTTTGTTCTAGTACACTGTGGGCCTGGGGTAATTAGGATAGACCCCAACTAAATACTCTTAATTTTTTAACATGGGCAGAGATAGTACAATTTACATGAATATAGATTTTTTTATAAAAATATTCTGTGATTGATGTGGATATATTATTTATGTTTGAGGAAAAGAATAATGGAGACTTCACTGTCATTGCTTTGAACATTTTCAAACCTATGAGGATTCTAGAAAGTTGGCCAACTTTCGTTTTTGGGAAGTGGAAGGTATTTGCAAGAATTGTTGGTGAAGCAGGACAATGCATTTAGCTGTGGTTATAACTCCATGGTAAAATTCACTGTTGGTTCTTGTTTATTCAGCCTAGCTGATGCGAACTTTTCCAGAGATTATTTAATGCTACCTCAGCAAAAAAAAAAAAATACTGGTTCTAGGAACTTGCCACTGCTCTGACTCTGCAGAGGAGAGCTTTGGTTATGTTCTGGGGATGACTTTGGAGATTGTGCTGTAACCAGAGCTTTCTGACAGTCACAGTGGCCTGAACTCCTTCCCAGCCATTGCATCCTTTAGATAGAAAATGCCTTTCAGCCCCTTGGGCCAAGTGAGATAGATGTTTGTACTGCTACCAACCCAGTAACCTCATGCAAAGAACATTCTTTTTTTTTTTATTTTTTTATCAGAGTTTCCCATTTTGGTTTCCTTTCTGGGACTGGTCTATTGCAAATTATTTATTGTTGGACTGCCATGCATTATAGCTGTCAGTTTCTGTATGTCCTTAGCAACCCTGCAAATGGCCTCTTTTCCCAACAAAGGGAAATAAATGTTAAGCAAAGCAGGGGTGACTCTATTTTTTAAAATCTTGCACAACAAACTAGAAATTATGCTGAAAGGGAAACCTCAGATAATTTTAGGTAGTGGAAAATATAATTTTTTTTTTCATATATGCTTTCTTCATAAATGTTCTTTATTGTACAGAAATTCTAATTTCCTGATATTTCTTAGTGTGAGCCCTGTATTTCTCATCTTCACAGATGATGATTTTTTTTTCTAATAGGTTACAGGGTTTAACTTTTACACCTGATCATCACCATTTCCCTGATGACTTTGATTTTGGGGTTTATTCCTTTAAATTTTATGTTGTAGGTATGTATGTAGCAGTAAGATACTGAGCAACCAAACTTTGCATGTCTGATCACCAAAAGCTGAAGGTTTGGTGGGAGAAGTATTGCAAAAGATTCTTCTCTCCCTATTTTAACGGAAAATACAGCTTTAGTGAACAGTTCTCTTAAGTGAAGGAAAAATTGCAGACCACAAATTTATGGTTTCTGTCTCCTTATTTCTTAATGACAAGCCTTTACATCTGCCTCTCCCTTAAAATGACATAAAATTAAATAAAACTACCATTTATTAAATGCCTACTCTGCCAGTTCCTGCGCTAAGCACTTTCAATGACATGATGTCATTTGATCTTTACAGCAAATGTTTACCAGGGTAGTGAATGTACATTTAATGCTCCTATGTCTTTACAGAGAATTGAGGTTTGAAGAAGCTAAGTAACTGTCTCAAGGCCCCAATGCTCGAAGGTGGGCGTGCAGGTCTGGCTGACTCCTGAGCCGACGCACCTGCTGCCTACTGCTGCTGGCAGTTCATACTCTGCCAGAAAAATATGCAGAAATTGACCTGCTCCTCTTCCATCTCAGCCCCTGGATGTAGCATCTAATAAATTCAACATATCTACTCATTTAATTGAATGTGTTATTTAAAACAACCCTGAGATTTTTTTTTATAAGGGATTTTCCTTTTCCCCCCAGAAAAATTTTGGCAACCCTGCAGAAATATGATTTAATGAAACAGGCTTCCTCTCAAGTTTCCAAAATTTCCAACTCTATGCAAATGAAACGGAATACATACTAAAGAAGGAAAACCTAGATTCGCAGTTGTTTACCTTACTCTGAGTTTGCATTGCTATATTCAGCATTTCTCTCAGATAGTCTAAGGCTCCTCAAATATTTTCACATCACCATGAAAATAAATGTGTCCCCAGGAAGGGCCAGAGAATGTCTTACTCAAGTCTGGGAGCTTGGCGTGGACATGTAGGTAACCTCACATTTCCATGCAGTTCTTTTGTTTTCTGCCAACAGCCATCTGCTTGGGGTTCCCAACAGGCTCAGCCTCCACCTAACTTGCACCGTTGCCAACTGGGAGCTGGAGTGAGACCAGGTTTTGGCTGTGGCTGGAAAAGAACGGTGGAAATTTCAAAGGCAGGAGTTAGAGAGCCCGAGACGCAGCAGGAAGGAAAGTGGAAGAAGAGACAAGGAGGAAAGAGGCTGAACAACAAAGGAGAAATGGCGGCCCTTTTAAAATCACCCCTATTTCTGATAGGACATCATACGAATGCTTCAAGAAGTGGTCAAGAGCGTATGAGCTTTGGAGGGAAACTCTGGATTCATGTCTGGCTCTGCTGCTTATTGCTGAATGACCTTGGACAGATTACGTAAAATGCTTAGCTTCCTTAGCTCTAAAATGGGGCAAGTCATAGTACCTACCGCCTAAAGTTAAGGGGATTAAATAAAATGAGCTATGTGAATGACAGGATAGTGCCTGGTAGAGTCGTTGCTTATACTCATATGCTCCAATGAGGAAGTTGTTATTAAAAACAAATAAATGTGTATGTATGAAAGATGTATCAACACATGTTTTTCAAAGTCCCCTTCATTGTGAAGAGTGGGATAGTCTAAAATGCTTTAAAAATGGAGGATAGTGATGTTTCCTTTCCATCGTTTAAGTGTGTGTCCGTGTGGTAGCAGTGTTTTTTTAATGTGAATTTATTACAGAGAAGAGGTGTATAACTTGAAGAAACCTGGTTATTATTATTTATTATTAAAATAATTTAAACTTCAGGTGAGGAGGATATGTCTGCCATTGTTCCCATTTTACATTGTTCTTTGGAGTGGTTTAATGGCGTTGAAAGGCCATGGGCCCGATATTTGGTATATGATGATTTTAAGTTGAAAGGTTACTTGATATCACCATCTTGCTCTTACATGTTTTCAAAACAGAAACTGTCCATCTATTTAAATAGATAAGCTTTGCCACTTCACCTATTTCTCCTATGAGAGAAAAACTTAAAGAATTTAGTTAATCAGTGTCAATGAGATAGAGAACCTAAGACACTTAGAAGTTAAGTCAG